TGGTAGTTTTATGTCAGATGCAAACCTTCCAAAAATGTCAGCTTTTGTCTTGTCAGTCCACAGAATACTTTCCCCAAAATCTTGGGGATCATCCAGATGTTTTTTGGCAAATGTGAGATGAGCCTTTATGATCTTTTTTGGTGAACTCTCCCATGGATGCCATTTTTGCCCAGTGTCTTTCTTGTTGACTTGACTCATGAACTCTGACCCTAACTGTGGCAAGTGAGGCCTGCAGTTCTTTGGATGTTGTTATGGGTTTTTTGTGACCTCCTTGGCTATGTCCATATGTATATGGGTATTTTTTTTTTAAAATAGGGATTTCTCAGAGTGTGTTTTGAAAAATATCTCCAAAGCTGTGAAAAGTGTGCCAAATCATCAGGTAGTGATATAACAGTAACCGTGAAGAAATGATGGCTGATTAAAAGCCACAGCGCACAGCCTTTTATCATAAAGGGACATAAAAAAACGCACACCTTTGTCCACATGTAAATGCAGAAACGCAGTTTTCTGAAATCTTCACCCTGTCAGGAGTTTTACAAAAGCTCCATTGTCAGTATGCATGAAACAGGCTATGTTTACAAAAAATACCCGTGTACATGTGGCTGTAGCAAAGGAGGTCACAAAAGAACTGAAAAGAACATATAAAGAACTGCAGGCCTATGGGCAGAGTTCATGATTCACCCCTGGATGAGTCTTCGATGCACTCTTGGAGTACTTTCGGTAGGTTGGCCACTCCTGAGAAGGCTCGCCACTCTTCCAAGTTTTCTCCATTTTGTGGGTAACGGCTCTCACCGTAATTCACTGGATGTCAATTACTTTGTTTCTCGGCTACTTCTTTACATTGTGTTGGCTAGGAAAACTGAACTTGGAAAAAAACGAGTTAATAAGGTTAATTCATGATAGAACAAGAGGGTCAATTACCTTTTCCCTTAGGGCCACGTAGGTTTGGGTAGCATTTCTCCCTTAATAAATCAAATCATCATATAAAATTTGCTTTTCTGTATTTTTGTCTAATACTAAAAATAGTTTGATTATCTTAAATTTGCACAGTAAGAAATGAATAAGCATTGGGGCATTTTTACAGTTTTTACAGCACTGTAGATGAAGTTATGTTTTGACCACATGCTGAACAAATACACTTTTAGCTTTCAGCTAGAGCTGGGCGATAGAACGATAACGATATGTATCGCGATATAACTTTTACTCGATAGAGAAATTAAGCTATCGCGATA